TCCCGTGGGACTACAACCTTTCTATTGAATTCTGTTGCCTTGCCTGTAAATATGAGAGTACTCTCTGGATAGCTGAGTGTAGCATCACGGCCCAATTCCAAGCTCTCTGCAATGTCTCCTGTCTCATTTCCATCACACTGAGCACTCACACAGTAGGCTCCAGACACGGTCATTTAAAATCCCCCAAGCTTACCATTAAGAAAAGCTTAGAAGAGTCTGGGGAGCCGGTTCAATGGAGAAGCACTTGCCATGCAGGCATGAGGACTGGTGTTTGGAACTCTAGTACCACATGAAGTCAGGTGGACACAGCAGCCCTCTTGTAGTCAGTGCTAGGGAGGCAGAAACAGGATCCCGAGGGCAGCTTATTAGCTAGACTAGCCAAATGGGCATGCCCTGGGTTCAGCAACTTACCAAAGACTGTACCTCCACAGTCTTTGAAGAATACAACCCATGGGCACACACGTGTCCACATACCTGCACATATATGTGTCCACATGCATGTGAACATAACACACACATGTACACACATACATGCACATACACACACAGCCTAACACCTTAGCACATGCTGGTCTCTCTGCCTAGAAAGTCCTCCTCTTTACTTACTTACTGTCTTTCAGGATGCAGACCATGGGTGCCATCTCTGAAAAGGCCTCTCCAGTGTGCACAGCTGGAGAGGACCCAGCCTGTATGGACCATACCCACAGACGGGCATGTCTGACTTGTCACATGGTCAGAGGCTGACCTGGAGACAGGGATGCTCCTTTTCCCTCTATCACATGTTTTGCCTGGGTCCTAGCATAACAAAGGGTTATAGCAGACATGGAGTAGTGACTCAGTAGTAACTGAACTACTAGATTTGTCCCTGAGTTCTTCACTATCCTTAAAATATACAGAGGAGCAAGGAAAAGGAGCTTGTCTTTTGATTTACATGGAAGGAAGGAGAAGCACAGGGAAGGCAAGATAACACAGCAAGCTCCGAGGCTGAGGAGAGCTGGTATCCACCTCTCTTGCCACTGGTCTAGCGTTCTTTCATGAAAGCGGAAGGGATGGGAACCGGGGAGATTGTCTTTCAGGGTATGTTTATTCTATGCCAGATGCTAGGTTTTTAAAAGCTTTCCTGTTCCTGTCATCGCTGCTATAATAAGATTTATCCATGTTACAGGCCAGCAAACTGGAACGGGACACATCAGCTCTTCCTGCCTGCAAGGCTTATGCTTTCTTCCTCGCACATGGTCAGTGTGTGCTACCCACCTCCGACTCCATTAGGATAGATGGCCTGGATGAAATGTTCTGTCCCACAATGGCATCTTTTAAACCAGCAGGGCACACAGGCTCACAATGCAGCCCTCTCAGACCACAGGCCACACTTCACAGGGTTTCCAAACCAAGATATTTGGTTTGTAAGACTAGCCCTCCATTTCTCCAGTGCAAACTGAGCACTATACACAATTACTCAGCCAAACTGCTGACGCCTACAGACACTGCATCACGCCTGGAAGAGTCCTGTCTGCCCAGAGACAACCTCAGGGGATCTGGGACACCCCAGAGCTTGGCACTGGGGGTACCTAGAGCTGGAGGAGGGGAGCTTAGACTGGCTAGATCATGGCTCTTTGGTGGAGGCTACATTTCAAGAACAGAGATTGCTCCAGGGAAGAATAAAACCACAGGATCCCAATGTTGCTCACCTCATAATGTTGGGAGGAGATCTTCACCTGGCCTGTGAGGCCTTCCCTTGCCATGCACTCGTGTTTCCTAAAGAGTATTCCTATTTGAGGCTGGTAAGGGCAGGTGTACTGCTCAGCCACAATGCTAGTGATGTTCACTTCCTGGTACCAGATAGAGACAAACCTTTGACCTCTCCCCTAGTTTACCTGAAGGGGTCATTTTTCCTGCTTTCAGGCTTCCAAAATGGAGGCCTTCTCTGTCCCACTCAGTGGCCAGGAGCTATCCACTGCACACTCCAGCGTGGCAGACCTGGCAAGTAAGTATAACTGGCTCTGACCCTGGGCTCATTTGACTTTCTTGTGCTTCAGTCTCCTTGTGTCTAAGATGCAAGGACCCATTTCAGAAGTTGTCCTAGAGGTTTCATGAAACAAAAGATTCAAAGATCCAAAGCCAGAGAAGTGGCATTTACTGGATGTTGAGTGTAGGACGTTGTGAGTGGCCTTTCCGCTCACACACTGGCATCCCGTATGATGCCCTCTTGTTTTTAAGCCTGCTTCCCAGGTCCCGTTTCAGTGTCGGGAAACCAACAGAGCATAACCAGAATGAATCCTCAGCGTGGAACCACTTTGAGATTCTGTTCATCCAGAAAGGAACAAAGCCCCTGAGCCTTGCCCAGTAGCAAGCTCAGAGTGTCCGTGATTTCTCCTTCTGTGGTCAAATGCTTCTCTTACAGTTAGCCTCGAACATGAGCAATGGCTACCCAATATGGTTGGCTTAGCATGCCTGGAGAAGCAGTCAGCCGTACAGGGCTTGAAAGGTCAGCACCAGGCACTCTAACCACTGCCCTGTGCAAGTGTAGCCCTACCGTGGCATTTCCCCCAAACACAGCAGCCTCTACGGTAAAATAACCTCTCAGGGGGAATTAGAGCTCTCACCAGCTTTGTGATACCGAGATTCTCTACCAATCACAGTAACATGGCTTTCTGGCTATCTAAAAGACTCGGGACCCATTCTGGAGAAAGACATGGGGCCGAGCACCATCCTGTAGACCAAGAGGAGAAGGCAAGATAACCCTTCATGAGCCCCTGCACACTCCGAAGGCCCACATTCTTCATTCCAAGCTCCGTCTCCACAGACCTCAATCATGCGGCGGGGAAACAGGGCTCAGACCCAAGAGACACAGACCTCCCAGCAAAGCCCTGGGCAAGGCAGGGTCACATGAGGAAGGGGCAGTCATGAGGCCATGGCCAGGTTTAGGGCAAGGATCAAACCCCCTTGGGCACCCAGACACTAGGGCTTTTGAGACACAGAGGGGCTGGCAGCTGAAGCCCTCGGAGCAGAGGAGCTGGTCAATGCCCCAATTCATTCTAGACAATCCCCTTTGTCTGCACCAGCACAGAGATTGCCATTATCTCTCTCAGCCACTAGGGAGAAAAGCCTGAGACACGGTCACCAATCCGAGCTCCAGCTCAGAAGTCACAACTGAAAGTTAGAGATTAAAATTTAGATGAAATATTTCCAAGGGGAGATGTCACAAAAAAAAGAAGAAGAAAGTCCAAATAACATGGCTTCAATCGTCAGAGGCTAACTGAACGCCTGACTAGTGGTTGGTTGTTGTTGTTGGTTTTTTTTTTTTCATTTCTTCTATAAAAAATAAGGGAATTTACAATTAAAAAAATGTAGTCTATAAAGTTATTAAAGTAGAAACCAAAACTGAAGTGGTAACTCTTATTAACTTAGTAGAATTTAGCAGTCTGAGAGTTTCCTAGAAGCCAGAGTGAGAAGGGAAACAAGAAAGGGAAAATAACTTCCTTCTCTCTGCAGCAAACCTGTTAAGCTAGCCACAGCCAGCCTAGGGGTCTCCATCTCTAGGGGTCAGGTCTAGAACTGGACCAAAGGAAAGACAGATCCTAGTGGACCATTCTGGAAATGATTGACCGTGGATCATTTCCCATTTCAACTGAAGAAGCACATTGGATTTGGACACATCACAGAAACCGATGAAGGGAATGGCCAGGACAGGTGGGCTCTAGAAGCCATAATGAAATAATAACCATAAATGTAAGTACCAGCCCTGGATTGGGGGGGGACTCTGGTCCAAGCATAGTTATTAGTGCCCCCCATGTTCTCCACATAACTGCTGAAGGAGAGAGGGGAGTGTTGAAAAGGCTGTCTCCCCAGCAGCTGCAGGCGGGGTGACTGAAGAAATGGGTCCACTTACCATAACAGCCCCGGCCCAGGCCCGTGGTCTCACTCACAGCAGGATGACTCTAAGTCATAAAGCCAGCTACAGGAGCTGGGACTCACTCACACCCTCGCTTAGCACACCTCACCTGCCTAGGTTGGCCTCCTCACCTCTAAGAGAGCAACTGCTGTGTTTCAGAACCAGCCCATAAGGCCTAAGAGTGCCCGGGGGCTGGGCTCCGTGGCCAGCCGTAGTGTAGAAAAGATGAGACACACAAAGGCATTTTATCACCTCCTCCCTTCCTCCCAGCCAAAGCCTGAGGGGCAACGATCCCCCTACTGAGGACTGGTTTCTGAAACCACTTTTCAGAGATGACCAGTGAAGCATAAAAATGGGGGGCAGGGGAGGCTAGAGGCAATGTCAAGGTCAATTCAAGGCTGAGTGGTTTTGCCCTCGCATTTACAGCGTGGGTGCACACTGCATGCGTGCCATCATTTGCTGTGGGTGTGTGAGATGTGCAGCATGTGGCTGCGCTGAGTGTACATGGGTGAGCGTCCCCTGTCCCCCTGTCTTTTTTCCTGGTTGTAAAAGTGGAGTTCCACTCCTGGCCCCGTGGAGTAAGATCAGTCAGAATCTCATTCACTCGAATGCCATTGGATGAGAGCTTTGAGTGTGGCCCAAAGCCCTGGGAAACCAAAGCTGCGTGACCTACAAGGGAGACACCTCAGTTGAGGACAACAGCTGGAGGCAAGTCAGGTCACCCTCGAAAGTGTGGGTTCAGATACCTCTTGATCCTTATCCTCACCTTCTACCTCTAAGCCATCTCTCACCCTCATCCGCACTGGCAGGTTCTGTCCCCTGACACCTTCCTGTCCCTGCCACAGCTACACCCACCTGTGTGCCACACCTGTGGGCATGCTTTAGGCCACACACACACACACACACACACACACACACACACACACACTAGAAAAAAAACACATGCTAGACACACTCCCTCCCACCAATGACACTCACTCCTACTCACAAACTCTCACACTAACACAATCACACCTGCCAGCCTGAAAGTCACGACTGGGCTAGCAGCTCCAGCCCCAGCCCTGAAGCCAGCCCCGGGAGCTAGCTATCCCCGCTGCTGCTTACTTACTCTGAGTTTACAAGGCAGAAAGCGGGAGTGCGCAGAGCCAGCGGTGGGTGGCAGCTCTCAGCAGCTGGAACTCCGGAGGCCAGGCGCAGAGTGGCCACGGGGGCCGGCACTGCCTAAGGCCGCCCGCTGCCCCCACCCCCGCCCCCAGGCTCTTTCCTGGCGGCGCGCACCCAGCCAAACCTCTGTCCCGCGCCAGGCACCGTGGCCTGCGAGGCTCCGCCAGGGCGCGAGGGCTATTTCGGAGCCCCTGGCCACGGTGGAGACCGCGCGCTGTCATCTGTGGGAACTCTGGAATGAGAACGTGGTCGGGTCTAATTAGAGACCCGGCTCACCCCTGGGCTGAGCCATCACCCAGAGCCACCAGAGCCGGCCAGGCGAGGGCGCCCACATGTGTCCCGCATGCCAACATCTGGAGAGGGGAAAGGACTGTGCCTCCACAATCAGTTTCCTGAAGCTGAAAGAAAACGAGGAGAGATTTGGGCGCAATTCCCATCCCTGAGGAGGGCGCAGCCCCACTGAGCAGCCCCGAACACGAGGAATGCGACTGGATTTGCCCACTGCAGGTGCTTCCCTTTGGAAATTTATTTACCCACTTAAGTCACCCTCCACATCACAGACCTGCCAAAAATGACAGGGGGTGTTGATGAGACACCCTCACCCCTGGGCTGTATGTCAAATGGCTAAGTCCACAAAAATCTGGTGCGGGCCCAAAAGCTCTGGAATGCTACATTTTTAGACTGAAAGGAAGCTTCTAGTTCATTCCATCCAATGCCTTCCACCCTGTACCTTCATAGATTGCCAAGAAAAGACACTTCTTCACCCCTGGAGCCCCGGCAGGAGGTTTGCTGTGTTCAGGGAAAGGAGGCTCAGTGCTGCCTCCACGGTACAATGCCCAGGCTTCTTCCTTCAAACTAAACATTCCTGTTCCTTGCTTCAGGCTCTGGCTGGCACTGCTGCCGCCTGGCCTTGGGCATACCATAGCTTTGACATCAAATCACCCACCTTGGCTCTCTGGGGCCTTCGCGCTGCAGGTGGCCCATTCTCAGGATAAGCCAGTTTCAATTCCAGCCTGCTTCCGTCCAGACAGCGTGACTGTGTCCCTAGTTGTGTAAGAGGACTTCAGTCCCTCATCCAAGGGTCTGTCTCCTCCCTGGAACAGGGCTGGCACCCCTAGGCAACACTGGCTGGGTGCTGACACCATAGCACACCTTCCTCAAGTGCTGGTTTGAAGAATCTTCTCTCCACGAGATACCGGTGGAGTAAGGGGCATGCAAATAACCTGGACTCTGTCCTCCCTCTACCACCTACATTCTAGCTGCATTTGAATCATGTCACCCAACTGCTCTGAGCTTTACTTTCCCTGTATACATAGCGGGATCATAACCACATCTGCACAGATGGTTGGTAGCACGTCAGAAGTGAGGCTTGGGTCTTAAACGGTATTCCCGTTAGCAAGAGGCCTCAGAGGGCTTTTATTTCTGAATCTGGGTCCAACCTTGTACCTATATTTGAAAGTAAACATCATCACTTGGTTTGCTACATGTATTCTTGAGGAACTTGTGGTTAAAGCTGCAACCCAATACATACACACCATAAACACACACACATAAATACACAGAGACACATACACACATGGTGACATTTACACGTGCATACAACACACACATGTACATAATCACACACAGGCACAGACCACACACAATACAAACACACACAGACACATTTATGCTCACATGCACGCCCATAAATATATACGGACACAAACACACCAATATACACACAAAGACATATATGCACACAGACATACACCCATGTACACACATACATATGTAAAACATACATAGACACGGGTACACGTACGCTGAAGCACGCATAAGTACACACACATAACACACATCACACATGTACACATACACAGGCACACACGTGTGCCCACTGTCATGCACACAAAACCGTGCACACTCACACATATATGCACACAAATGCATGCACACACACACACCCTTCCCAGATACCTACACTGCAGCACAGCCTCCTGGACTCCTGGGCTCCCCAAAAGCCCCAGTTTCCGGGGCCCTCTCGAGTGGATTCTCCATCCCCAGGGGGCCGCCTCATGGTGACAGTCTGGGCTGCAGTGATTCAGGTGCCCTTACAGAGGGCCCTGTGGGCAGCTCCATTCTCTCCACCCATCCTTCTGGGCCATGACCCTGGGAAGGCCTGCGGTTCAAAGCAAAGGCTGATGAGACCTTCAAGGCTGCACGGGACGGAGGCTGCCCCAGGAGCTCAGAGTTAAAGTATCCTCCCTTGAGCCCCCTCCCCTCTGTCTGCTTGGCTTCCCAAGCACTGACCTGCTTAATTGTTAATGGAAATTCCATCTCCTTTGCAGGCTTTGGCTGGCTCAGGGAGCCCAGGCATGAGCCAACAGCAAACCCCATCCAGGGGTGGGTGTCCTGTCCATATAAGAAGGGGGGCCTGTCCATATAAGCACAAACAAATGTTAGCATATGCGTGGGCAGAGACATTCACAAAGCCAGTGTCTTCCCCAGACACAGCCACACACTGAAGGAGAGTAGGATTCCAGTTACTAAGGTTACACATGGCACTCAGAGCTTTTGCTCTATCCATCCTAGAAGCATCAAGTTTAGTACGTCTCTATTTTACACACTAAGAAACTGAGGCAGGGGACTCAAGCAGCTCACGTGAGGCATGTGGTGGTCAGACTAACACAAAGAACAGTGAGCAAAGTGGCTCATTGCACTTTGCCACTGCAGTGACTTTTCACAGATGTCACTCCCATCACACAGACAGGGACCCTGGACGTCAGGTGGCTCAGATCACCCATCTGGCCTCACAGCTGGTGGTATAAAGGGTAGAGTGGCTCAAATGTGAAATGTCTTCCACGGGGTCGTGTGTTCAGACAGACACATGGTCTCCAGCTGCAGTGCTGTTTCAGGAAGCTGTAGAAATGTAAAAGGTGGGGCCTCGCTAGAGAAGCAGGCTGTTAGAGGACAGGACCTATGGGTTACAGCCCAGCCCCAGATTTAGCCAGCTTGATCACTCTGGCTCTCTGCTTCCTGGTCCACAGAGATGAGTTGTGAGGAAACCCAACCCCGCCTGCTGCTCAATGCCTCCCCCACCATGGTAGACTAGACCCTCTAACTATGAGCCACAACAAATATTTCTTCTCTTAAGTTGCTTCTTAACAGGATTTTTCGTGACAATGATAAGGAAAGTAACTAAAATTTGCATAGAGATATTCACGGGAAACCACATAGGTGCACAGGACACACACACACACACACACACACACACACACACACACGCTCCCTAGGCACGGTCACAGATAGCTTATGCCACCTCACCAATTAGGAATCTAAGAACCATCCAGAGCTACATCAGAAAAAAAAAGCCTCTTCCAGCCTGATCCACAGCCTTCTCCTCCCAAAGGGGCTATCGTCTATCCACCAGTTTCACATGCTGCGCAAGTTCACACCCAAACGGATGAAAGACTTCAGGTTTACCATCCGCTCAGCCAGGTCCATCCGCCAGCACCTAGGCGTAGTCTGAGTCCAGCTTTCTCTACATTACCTGTCTGGTCTCTAAGAGAAGAACCAGCACTCCCACATCCTTTTGATTCAGTCACAAACCTCATGCCAAGGGGTCCTCAGAAGATGAGTGAGTACTGCCCACAGGCTGGCTGCTCAAAGAGTCCCCAACCCCCACAGCATGAGAGGCTGGAGGGAGCCCCTGGGAGCTCACAGCACCCAAGAGAAGCATCAGCGTCATTTCGAATAGAACCATGCTCAGAAAGATGATAGAGGAGGGAGGGCCCAACAACGATTCAGGACAACCGGCAAAGTCCTGTGCCTGAAGAGCTGAGAGAAGATATGGGCAGAAGGAAAGCTCAGTCAAGTTCAGCAGTTCAGGAACTTGGGCTCTGCCTGAAGTTTCCCTGCTACGCTAGCAGCCTCTACAAGCTGGGCACCCCCAAAAGGTCATGCCCAGGAGGGCCTGAGGATGACTTTGCATGGCAGCCTAGAGAGAGGGGTTTGTAACCCTCAATATCATCTGTCTAGTTACTCTGACCAAATACCTGAAGAAGCATCTCAAGGGAGAGGACGTCACTTGGGGTCACAGTTTGAAGGATGCAGTTTACTGTGGTGCAGGAAGCATAGTGGAGGACTCCATTCGTTGTGGTGGGAGCTTACAGCATGGCAGAAGCTGGTCCATGCTGGCAGCGGTGGGCAGTTGGCATTCCTCACTCTTCACATCCTTTTTTATGTGCATTAGTGTGAGGGTGTCAGATTCCTTGGAATTGGTGGTACAGACAGTTATGAGATGCCATCTGGGTGCTGGGAATTGAACCCGGGTCCTTTGGAAGCGCAGACAGTGCTGTTAACCACTGAGCCACCTTTCCAGCCCACCTCCTCACATCTTGACAAGAAAGAAAGCTGACAGGAGTTGGGACCAGGTCAGAAAATCTTAAGGCCCACCCCTTCAAACCTATTTCCTCCAGTGAGACATCTCTTGAAAGTTCTACAGTCTTCCAAAAAAAAAAAAAAAAAAGCGGCTGGGGGCCAAGCATACAGGAGGCTATGGGGGACCTTTCACATTCAAACCACAACACCCCTACAATCAGATCAGCAAGTGCAGTAATGCAGGCAGTGGCTCTGGGAAAGGCAGCCTTGGCCCAATAATTTGCATTTCTAAGGAAGTCATTTGGAAATTACACTTAAGAACCACTGCCTTCTAGAACAAAAGAAAGTCAGGGGTCAGTTCAGCTCAAATCTAGATTCCCAGCCTAACTCCCAGGTAAAGAATTCAGTCTTGAGGATAGTTAGTCCTTTCCCTTATCCAATCACCTTGCCATCTTCCGTGGTGGTTGATTTTCCTGGGCACCCTAATGTCCTCTATGTTTCAGCATACCTCCTAACAAAAATAGTATCTTCTACTCTGCCCTCCATCAGCACAGGGAACGTTATCAAGATGAGAAACTTGCACAGAAATAGCTTTGGACCAGACAGGCTTTCAAGACTGGGGACAGAGTTATCAGGAAGTTCTGGTGGAGGCAGCTGAGC